ACCACACCGACAGGGCGTACCTCCCCTACCACCAGGGTGCAGCACCCACCACCACACCGACAGGGCGTACCTACCCTACCACCAAGGTGCAGCACCCACCCCACCACACCGACAGGGCGTACCTCCCCTACCACCAGGGTGCAGCACCCACCCCACCACACCGACAGGGCGTACCTCCCCTACCACCAGGGTGCAGCACCCACCCCCTTCACACCGACAGGGCGTACCTCCCCCCCATGCCATACCTCCCCCCTCGTGCCACCAGGGTGCAGCACCTACCAGTAGCAGCTGGTCGCCGCCGGCGTTCGGCGATGAGCTGTGGCGGCGGCGGCTGTCGGACGACGAGCGGTTGCGGAACTTGTCGACCAGGTTCATCACTGGCCCGCGCTTCTTCGTCTCGCTGCCCGAGCGCGGCCGCCCGAACGACGCCTCGTTCGCGACCGACTTCCCGCCGCGCGTGTACACGGTGCGGCGATCCAGCGAGTCGCCCGGCGAGTGTCCGCCGCTATTGCGAGGACTGTTCAGGCTTCCGAGACTGCCGTTGACGTTGTCGGGCGGGTGAGAGGTGATGAGGAGCTGTGGCGGACGCGCGCGGCTGTCCGACTGCGAGCGCGCGCGGAACGGTTCGTCGGCGGACGCGTCCGACCAGCCGTCGGCGGCGGCGTCCGTGGACGCGGGACGAGCGCCGCGGTTCTTGATCTTCGCGCTCGGAACTTTCGGAGGCGGGAACATGCCGCCGAAGTCGTCGTCCATCTCGACGTCGTTGTTCGTCTCCTCGCAGAGAACCTCCTTCCGGTAGTTCAGATCCTGCGGGAGGAAAGAAAGGTCAGAGGTCAGAGGTCAGAGAAGACTGGGTTTATACGCAGACGGCAAACACAAATTTTCCAGGACATACATTTTCGGAGAACCCAAGATTTAAGCGAGATACAAATCATATCACCTCGTATCTTCCAATCAACAATTAGTGAACAAACCTTTTATGCAAATTTTACTGTCTCTTAGACAGTAAACATGACTATCACACAATCAATCACTCGGATCTTCAAATATATCAAACTTGTTATTATCATTGGTAAAATGTCGACACAACAAACATGAGATGTTTTTGCAGGACATTTCATTGATAAACATAATAATAGCCACTTCCTCCTAAGACTTAATAGTCCTGGAAAATGACAATTTAGAATCGAATTTTCTCGGGTTTCCAAGACATGAACCGTGAACTAGTACTCGTGCTACGAGGGTGATAACAACGATACGTCCTGACATCATGACGTCATCATGACGTCTCACATCATGACGTCAAGACCGCGATCACGAAAAACAACGAGTGCTACGCTAGTTGACAATTTCCGACCGAATCGACACAATTTAAGTGTGAGGCTCTCCTCCGGGTGCCGACTGTCGAAAGAACAGCCGGCGGCTGTTGGAACAGTTAATTGCCACCCCCTCCATATCCATATTTTATAGCGCGATGAACAACTTCAGATATCTTTCTCGCTCCCATCGGCATGTAATGTGTATTTTATGGCCGCAGTTTGACTAACGTGAGAATGTCAGAAGGTCACGTACGATTACATTTAGGTGAGAGGTTTCGCAAATTAACCTTTCTCTGTCGTCGTGACGATTGTGTGTCATTGCGCCATGTCCAATCCTAACTGATTCGACACTTTACACTCAAGCAATAAGAGGGGGAGAGATAGATAGACTGATGATATATATATATATATATATATAGAGAGAGAAAGAGAGAAAGAGAGTAAGAAAGAAGGTAGAGAACAGTGATAGATAGACACAGACTGAGCCGAGACAGACACGCACGCGGTATGCGAATGTGGCTGTGTTAGAGAAGGATGTGAATGGAGATAAAGAAAGGAAGGGAAGGAGCGGGAGAGGAGGAAGGGAGGAGGGAGGGACGACGGGAGGAGAGAGGGAGGAGAGAGAGAGAGACGGACGAGCATGAGAGAGAGAGAGACGAGGAAGAGAGAAAGAGAGTAAGAAAGAAGGTTAGAGAACAGTGATAGATAGAGGTGAGAGAACACGCACGTGTGTTAGAGAAGGAGTGAGATGAGGAGATAAAGAAAAGGAAGGGAAGCGCAAGCGCAGGGAAGGGAGGACGGGAGGGAGAGAGAGAGACATGAGAGAAAGAGAAGACTATCGGCCTGGAGAGCAGAGATAGAAAGGAGAGCAGGAGAGAAGGAGGATCGAGAGGAGAGAAAGAGGAGAGAGAGACAGAGAGGAGAGAGAGAGAGAGAGGAGAGAGAGTAGAGGAGACAGAGAGAGAGGACGGAGAGAAGACTCCTGATGGCCCAAGGGATGAGAGAGATTGAGAGAGAGGAGAGAGGCCGGCACGGTGAGTGAGATTAGAGAGAGCACGAGCCGCGTTCGCGAGTGAGTGAATGAGCGAGAGAAAGAGAGCGCGGAGGAAGAGGAAGACTGCAGAAAGATAGAGAGCCTGTTCCGGTATCACAGCAGCAACCCATGATAACTGCGTCGTTGATAGAATTTCATTGGCCACTTGGTATAGCAATCGGAACAGCAATGCAAAACCGAAATTGCAGCAACTGCACCCAGTGGTAAGATGTACAGCTGAGTAAGGCCTTGAACATGTGTAGAGGTTACAGCATCCCGTTACGCTGGAAGCGGCCTCGTTGGTATATGTAGCTACCGAGGTGTGTCGGGGAGTATGCGCCTACGCCCTACTCCTTAAACCCTAACTCCTAACGCCTAAACCATATCAAGCTCATTACCTTCGGGCGTACAATATTATACAGCCATTATACGGACAACGACCCTTCGCTGCGCAACTGTGGTGAGAGTGTGCGCGTGTCCGAGAACTGTGAGGAGAGTAGTTTTCGACACTAACTGCAGACTTAGCCCGAGCAGCAATATGGTGGCCTGAATATTCGGCGGTACTAACTCCAAAGACAGCAATTGCGAAAATGGATATGCGCGATTACATTATGTCAATAGTACCATCAATGACAACGATATTCTATTATGTACCCTGATCTATGCTTACAGGAATATATTTGCCCACCTAGAACTCTGCTATCTCCGCTCTCTGGTCTCTCCCCCTCTCTTATCTAGTTACATCTATCCTATACCTCCTCTCTCTCTCTGTGCGGTGTTGCGAGTTGGTTTCAACCTTTAAGGCAACACAATCTGTGCGTTATGACGTGTGGTTACCGTTATAGGTCTTAAGCCCACACTGTTTGAGCCGGCGCAGTTATTTTTTTATGGCCGCGACCACCATTAAAAAACTATGGCCTACTGTTCAGACTTCATCCGTACGTGGCTCAGCAAGGCATATGGCAAGAATAAAGACGATGGGGTACGGGATAAAACATCCGTGTACAAAGCGGAGAGGCGACACAACCGGGTTATACGCCTGCCCTACCTGTGACGGACCTCTCATTAAATTACAACGTAAATTTTCGCGCAGGCAGTCATAAACGATTCTCGCTATTTGTGTTCGCCACTTTGCTGTAGTGAACAGCGCCCACTCGTTATTTATTTATCGCAGTTTGCGCCAGCGGCGAGTCTACGGCTGACAAGCCTATTCTGTGCTCCAACAATTACTTCTCCAGCGTTCTGTAACAGACAGCCAGTAGCGCTGTCCATCAGGTTCTGGTTTTACTCCCCCCACAGCTTTTGCGCAGCCAGTGCCCTTCATAATGCCTAGAAAACACTTCGCTGGACTAACTCAGTGTGCAGTATACAGGGTATGGCCGGTGTTACTTTATTACAAGATCACAGCAGACTAGAAGTGTGAAATGTCTACTGACCACAGGATATCACGGGACTGTGAGTTGCTGGCCCTCACCATAGAATATATTACTGTGGTGTTACTGAGCCACAGCCATATATTCGTCTGTGGTCGCTTACTGCCAGCACATGCATCATATTGTGTCTGTGCGTAAGTTAGCTGGGCACCAGCTAGATATGATTTCTGCTGTGTGCTTGACCTCACCACGCATATATTCTGTCTGTGCGTCGTTACCTGAGCCACAGTGTAATATTCTTGGTGTGTAACTTCACCACAGCATATATTCTGTGCGGTGTTACTGAGCGACACATATATTCTGTGGTGTTACTGGGCACAGCATATATTCTGTGGTGTTACTGAGCACAGCATATATTCTGTCTGTGGTGTTACTGGGCACAGTAGATATTCTGTGGTGTTACTGAGCACAGCATATATTCTGTGGTATTACTGAGCACAGCATATATTCTGTCTGTGGTGTTACTAAGCACAGTAGATATTCTGTGGTGTGACTCACCACAGCATATATTCTGTGGTGTTACTCACCACGGCACATACAGACTGTGATGTGACTGATCACAACATATATTCTGTGGTGTTACTGAGCACAGCATATATTCTGTGGTGTTACTGAGCACAGCATATATTCTGTGGTGTTACTGAGCACAGCATATATTCTGTCTGTGGTGTTATTGGGCACAGTAGATATTCTGTGGTGTTACTCACCACGGCACATACAGACTGTGATGTGACTGATCACAACATATATTCTGTGGCGTCACTAACCACGGCACATATATAGACTGTGATGTGACTGATCACAACATATATCCCGCCTGACATATAGCTACACGGTTACTAGGGTAACCACGATGATCGCATCGTTCACAGTTTCATAATAAGAGGTTGTTCAATCAGCTCATAATTATTACGTAATTAAGAACGACCAGCTTATAACAATGGACTCTCCCAGACTGGACTGTCACTAACACTGACACTGACAGTCACTGTCACTGTGGCTGAGAGGGTCTATGTCCCCCAGGGTACTGCCGGAACGTACCCTGGGTATACGGTCCGGTATATCGGAACGTACCCTAGTACTATCTAATATGCCGGACCGTACCTCGCCTACTCCATTAACGAGTCTAGGGAGTCGCCTATGCCTACTCCCTAACCCTAACCCTAACCCTAACCATATCAGATAGTTACCAGGGTACGTTCCGGCAGTACCCTGGGGAACATAGACCCTATGCGCGTCACTGTGTCCTAACAATGGACTCTCACAGACTGGACTGCCACTAACACTGACTTTGACAGTCACTGTCACTGAGTCACTGTGTCCTAAGTTGCACTGGACTCTCCCAGACTGCACTGTCACTAGCTCGTGAACTACTATACCCTTCGCTCTGCCACTCGCCTGTGGCAGAGCGAAGGGCTATAGTTCTAGAGCTACACTGTCTCTAACACTGACACTGGCACTGGGTCCTAACACTGGACTGTGCCAGCCTTTCACAGCGTCCAGCAAACAACAGCAGCCTTTCTTGACCTGCAGTGCCCTATACAATAGTTGGCCTAGCTCTCACGGCCAATGTCTATTTCCGGACCAAAGTACGCGCCTGAAGGCCTGGTCTGATCGGCCACCCCTACTGTATGAACACCGCTCATATGGCATCACCACCATACATCAACAGTATGAACTTAAACATAAATCTACAAATAATAACATAATAATAATGATAATAATAATGATAATAAACATTAAGTCTAACCTGGTCGGGAACGCATGCACAGAGAACTCTATTCATGCACTCCTGACCTGACGCCTGGTGTAGGTATAAATGGTGGGAATGGTGATGAGGACGATGTATGGTGATGATGATGATGACGGTGTATGGTGATGATGGTGATGATGACGATGTATGGTGATGATGATGATGATGACGATGTATGGTGATGATGGTGATGATGACGATGTATGGTG